GGTGCACCCACAGAGTCCCCAGGTCCCCACCGCTAGCCCAGATGTCCTGAGTCACAGACCCATCCGTCCAAACATATGCTCACCATCTCTCCCGGAATGTCCCCCAAGGAACACGCTCTACGTGGATTCACCTTCTTTCTCCTAAACCCGCTCCCCCCCCCCCCACCACGCGCCCCATCCCCTGTCCTCACTGCATGACTGCAGCACGTGAGGCAGATGACTCGGAGGTGTCCGAACGCTCTCCGTGCCCTGACTTGGAGCATCCCCCCTGACAGATTCTCCCTCCTCCTCTCCGGCCAGCGGTGCACACGGAGCTGACCTCATTACTTCTCTTCTCATTTAGTCTGCCAGGCTCTGCGCTCGCTGTCTTAAACCCTTCCCTTGGCTGCACAAGCAGTCTTGCCACAATGTCCTGATCATGTCACACACGGCTCTGGATCCTACACTGTCTCCACTGCCCACAGGGCCAAGTCCCAAGGCCTCCAAGTGCCTCAGGGGGTCTTTCATGGCTCAGACCCCTAAGCCCCTCTCTCACGTCTCTGCTCCTTCCCAAACACATCGGCCTCTCCTTGCGGCCTTGCATTTGCGCATGCAGAGACCTCAGCTGGGATCCCTGACTCCAGCGCCCCCTCCTGGAAGGCTTGATGGATACCCAGAGGAAGTTGATGACTCCCTTCCCTGAGCCCCAGATTCCCATGCGAACACCCACAGCGCCTGTTGGTGTCTGTGTGTCTGACGCCATGAGAACTGCGATCTGTGAAGGCGGAGATGGCCTCTCTTTGGATTTTGTATCCCCACAGCCCAGACAAGCGCCGTGACAATCCCCGCCCATAAAATCCCGAGTGGACTGGAAATAAGCAGATTAGCCAGAGCCTGGCAATACAGATGTAAACTAGGCTTTAAACTCCTTCTATCTGTATGCGGTACAAAACGGGGACAGATGCCTATTGTGCCCAAGCAGCCTCTGCGAAAGAACTGATTAGGGATTAGGGGAGACGGAGTATTTGGGAAAGATGAGAAGAGAGGAATGGCCGGGCGGCTTAGAGCGGGGCCCTGGTGGCATCTGCCTCCTGGGCGGTGGTGCATGCCTCTGGCCTGACCCAGAGGTGGGACAGGCCCCTGAGTCAGGGCAGAAAGCTGGATACAGTGGGCCCAGCTCGAGGTGACAAGTGTCAGGAGGTCAGATAACGCAAGTGTGAGAAGAGCAAGCAGCTATTCTAATAGGTCCTTTCCTGAAGAAAGGCAGGCAGATCCAAAAACTTAAACAGCAGCCCAGCAGCCAAATAAAACCACCTAAGAAAGGGTTCCAGAGGACCAGAGAGGCAGGCGGGCCTCCCATCCCCTTAGACTAAGGAGCAGAATCCTTAACATGATGTTCACGGTCTATAGACAATCCCCCCAAACATGACTAACTCTTTGCTATCAGGAGGGCATTTCCATTGGCAGCCCTTTCCTCATCCTCCCCATCTGAGCTGAAGGGTACCTCTTCCTCCAGGAAGCCTTCCCTGATCTCCAGGGTCTCAAATGAATTTGCTCTCAAAACACCCTGGGCTTCCCCTTCAAGGTCCTGCTCAGAATTGGTATCAAATACGTATCCATTTAAATTCTGTTTCCACTATAAGAAGAAGCACTTAGAGGGCAGGGACTGATTCTTATCATATCCCCAGCATTCAGCACTCTGTCTGGAGCAGATCTGAGGCCCACTGAGCAAGCGTCTGCTGAGTGAACAATTCAATCAAACAGCTGAAGAACGAATTAAACAATGAGTGGATAAAACTGGCCTGTGTCTAGAATGCGGGACCAGGGAGCCTGGATTACCCTGAGCACATGAGAGAAGGAAGGGGAGGGGAAGTCGGGCCACTCCTACTGCAGATGACAGAGACCACAGTGGGGTCGGCAGCCAACAGGACCTGCGGCCAACCCCAGCCCACCCTGCTGTCATACAGCCTGTGACTCCTAGACTCACATTGTCTTGCACATTTTGAAATGGTTAAAAAGAAGACTATTTCAGTTTTTGAAATTCACACATCAGTGTCCACAAATAAGGCTTTCTTGGAACACAGCCTCACCCCTTGGTTTCTGTACTGTCTACGGCTGCTTTCGCATGATAGTGGTAGAGCTGAGGGGCTGTGACAGAGAATATATGAGCCTCAAGGCCTAAAAGATATACTACCTTTACAGAAAAAGTTTACTGAACCCTGGCCTACAGTCTCTTGCAATCACTATATCCCAGAACTCACAGAAATACTGACCCGGTGGCATATGCTAAAACCTGGGCCTCAGAAAAAAGCTGCCAGACACTGTTTGTTAATGTAAAATGGGACTTAAATATCCCCTTAATAAAGAAGGGCTAGTTAAACTAATATCATACACTAGCAATGGACTACGACACAGCTATCTTTAAAAATGGGTTAGGCTAAAATGTACAAGTATAGAAAGATGTCCACAGTACACTGTCAAAGAAATTTATAAAACAACATGGATCGTTTTTCCAATCTTTTAGAAAGACTAGCTGTACTTATGGTTAGAAGGTGAGAAAATATGAATATCTGGGAGAATATGTGATAAATAGGAACTGGACCAGGGATTTAAATTTTTTATTTTAAATACTTTTGCACTCACTGAAGTTTTTGCTGAGAATACATTTTTCTCTAATTTTGTTGATTTCAGAGAGGAAGGGAGAGGGAGAGAGAGATAGAAACATCAATGATGAGAGAGAATCATTAATTGGCTGCCTCCTGCACGCCCACTACTGGGGATCGAGCCCACAACCAGGCATGTGCCCTTGACTGGAATTGAACGTGGGACCCTTCAGTCCGCAGGCCAATGCTCTATCCACTGAGCCAAACCAGCTAGGGCTGCTATTCTCTAATTCTTTTTTTAAAAATATATTTTATTGATTTTTTACACAGAGGAAGGGAGAGGGATAGAGAGTTAGAAACATCGATGAGAGAGAAACATCGATCAGCTGCCTCCTGCACACTCCCTACTGGGGATGTGCCCACAACCAAGGTACATGCCCTTGACTGGAATCGAACCTGGGACCCTTCAGTCCGCAGGCCAACGCTCTAGCCACTGAGCCAAACCGGTTAGGGCTGCTATTCTCTAATTCAAAACACACACACAAAGGCTGATTTTAGGACGCCCCTCACCCCACCCCCCTCCTCCCTCCCCCCAGATCCCAATGCTTGATGATCTCAGGGTCATATGGTCCAGTTTCTGCATTTTGGGGAGCTGCCCAAAACACACTTTCCTCTGACACTTCAAAGTCTGATAACTGCCAAGCTGCTCATGTTTGTTTTGAGGAAGCATAAGATTAGAATGGTCAGAATTAGTCCTACTTCCCTTTTCCTAGAAACCCTGGTTACCTACTCAACCAGAACACCCCTCCCGAGCCCGCGGAGGGCCAGGGTGCCAGGGGGCGTGACCACACTGCCTTCTCTGCTGCTCCCTCTCACCACAGCTGGCTCTCCTGCCACCAGCTGGCTCTCCTGCCACCAGGACCCTCCGAGTGGAGCTCAGTCAGCAGCCCTATGAGTGGCCCTGGGGGTGGGGTGAGGTGGCCATCAGCCGAGGGAAGAGAGAAGCCAAGACTGAGCCCCCAATAGGTTTCAGGTTCTGCCTTGGCACACACGTGTATGATTCCTACCAAGCCTAACTCTCCGTTTCTAACCTTTGTTCCCCCGTGGCAGTTTCCCAGGGGAGTCATGCCAAGGGCAGAGCTGTTAGCTGGCTTTGCTCTGCCATGCCCAGGCCCGCAGGCCTGCAACAGGTCTGCTCAGCTGGCTGGAGTAACCTGCCACTCCTCCTTCACCCTGCAGTCAGCATCCCGGGATCCTGGAGTCACTGCGAAGGCCCAGGAAGTCCCTAATAGCTGGGGGCATGGAGGTACGGTCCCACCTCAACTTGGAGATGCACATGGACCCTGCTATCTGCTAGAATAAACCATCCATAAGTAGCCCCAGCATTTCCCAAGGAACATGCCAAGACTCAGGCAGTGCGATAATGCCAGTGAGAGCAGGAGGCGCGGTGGGGAAGTCAGGGAGGCGTCGATCTTGCGGTGCCTGCCTGGGAACTCCTGCGTCATTTAGTACATTCAGACCCCAAGACAGCGCGCACAGCTCGAGCGCTCAACCTGATTCAAACTAGCTGCTGACCACAACCTTTCTCCATCCCAATTTGAGGTTCGGTTCAGCAAACACGCCGAGTGGCTGTAAGGGTCCGAGGAGGACCCCAGCCTTGAAGGGCAGGCTTCCCCATCCAGGCTCAGACCCCCGCCCCCCAGCACTGTGGGGAGAGCCGTCTTTCAGGTCAGCTTCTGAAGAAAATAAAAACCAGGAGGTGGCGGAGGGAGGAGAAAGCCTGGCTCTCGGAGAGACAGAAGCCCGGGGCTGGCGCAGGCCACTCCTGGGCGGGACTCACCATTGGTGGTCGTGTTGACATAGTAGCGCCGGCCCTGGGGGGACAGGTAGCTCTGCCAGCCGGGGGGCAGCACGATGCTCTGGCTCTCCTCTCCCGGCGGAGGGGGGACCATCCCAGGCTTCTGTGGAGGAGGAAAGGAAAGGTCACACACGTCTGGCATTTTTGCAGCCGTTTTTCAACCAGGAAGTCAGGGCAGATGAAGTCACCCTGGAACAGCTCGACGGTGAGGATGCGTGGCCCGCAGGCCTCCCTCAGGGAGGTCACAGGCCGCGCTTGTGTGATTTTGGCGGTTGTCTGAGCGGGAGGTGTGAGGAGCGCCCGCTGTCTCAGAGCCACCGCAGGAGGGACAGGTTCCCCCCGAGGACAGAGGGAAGTGCCGCTCAGCTAACACTGGGCTTTCTCCTCTGTTAGCCCCTAGAAAGCCACCCTCGGGGTGAGGCACTTTCACAGGGTGGGAGGTGCCGCTCCCCGCACTCCCGTGTGGACTCTGCAGCCTGACATCCCAGGGAGCACCGAGCACAGCTGAGCACAGCCGCAGACGAGGCCAGGGCCCGCTGGGGAAGTGACCAGAGCCATCAATGCAAGCCTCGGCAGAGCGAGCTGGGAAACCTACAACAATGCCATGAATCGAAGAGCGAGGTGGGTTTTCTCCAAGTGCCCAAATCACCCTGCGAGGAGAACTGGAGTCTGAGACAACCCAGGATGCCCTTTCACCACATGCACTTATCTGCAGCTTAACTCTCGTAACCACACGCACGGAGCTTTTCCTAAAATAATCAGAGAGCAATAGAGAGGACAGAGAGAAACTAGTAGAGACACAGATGCTACAGCAGGTGCTTCCCGGTGGGATTATGGGCAGTTTGTCTTCCCTTCTTTTTGCTTAACTCTTCCATCTAGATTTTCTTCAATAAACGCAAAAATAAAAGTTATTAACTCTGGCCAGTGGTGCTCAGTGGTTAGAGCGACGGCCTGGGCACCAAAGAGTCACAGGTTCGATTCCTGGTCAAGGGCACGTACCTGAGTTGCAGGTCTGCTCCCCGCCCTTGGTCAGGGCACGTGTGGAAGGCAACCAGTCTTTCTCACATCAATGTTCCTCTCTTTCTCTCTATCTTCCTCTCTTTCTCCCTCCCTCCCTTCCACTCTCTCTGAAAAGCAATGGAGAAAATATCCCCAGGTGAGGATTAACAACAACAAAATAAATAAAAGTTGTTGGTTAAAGAAGACTTAAACATAAGAGAAGGGCCCAAATTAGCTCACATAATTTCTGTGCCTTGCAGAGAAATAAGTGGATAAAGACCGTATTCTAGCCACAGCAGGACAGGAGCCATGATTTTCTCAGCGAAGCCGGACCCTGTTCAGAAATATTAAAACTAACCGGCTCCTAAATGTCACCGGCATCCCCTAGCCATGCCTACGAGGCAGTTTTGGGTCACTGATGACCACGGCTTAATAGCTGGAAAGTGAGCAATACAGACACGGCTCCCAAACTGCTGAGCTTTCTGCAGACTGCAGAGCCCGCACTTCCGTTTCCTGGGGAGCCCTGCATGCCCTCGGTGGGGATCGGGGATCAGATCAATCCCAGCTGCTCCAGGGACTGCGAGTGAGCACGGCTCCCCCTGGTCCTCCCTGTATGTTTCATTATGAAGTTTCACAATTTATTTAAAAACCTCCCCCTGTGCCCTGAACGCTTCTGTCTCCCACACCTGTTGACCCGCAGCGCCTCTGTGGCTTCCAGACCGCCAGGTGCCAGAGGGGTGGGCCGCCGCCGGCAGGCAGCCTCTCGCCGGCACAGCATGTCCGCTGAGCCCAGCACACACCTGCGCACGCTTACCTGGGCCTCCAGACACTGCTCGGGCCTCTCCAGGTTGGAAGACGGTCAAAATGTATGCAAGACAAATAGCCTGAGGATGAGTACAGTGAGAGTGTGAGTGTGTGTGTCTCTGTGTGAGTGTGTGTGTGTGTGAGAGAGAGAGAGAGAGAGAGAGAGAGAGAGAGAGAGAGAGAAATACCCACAGTACAGGAGACACACATGTTGGCTCTGTAGGGTTGGGAGTAAACAGGAACAGGGAGGTCAGGGGGCTTGACCGAAGAAAGAAATGGTCTAGAACTAAGCTGCTTCTGCCTGAGGCACAGCATCTAAGGGAAGACCGGACTGGGGCTTGTCGGGTAAGCTGGGAGGAAGTGGGAAATTGTGAAAGAGAATGCATTCCGCAAGGGCAGAGACTGACGGGGCAGAGACTGGCATGGGCAGAACGAGGCTGCAGGGACCCAGAGGAGAGAGAGAGAGAGAGAGAGAGAGAGAGAGAGAGAGAGAGAGAGACCAAGCAGCAAAGTGAACCCGCCCTCCAGCCTGGGGCTCAGTCGGACTTAGCCACTGAGCAGCCCGGGGCCCAGGGAAATGACACACCGGCCGCCCTACTTCGGCATCTGTGAGACGGGGACGATGTTAGCCCAGCGAGGCACACACTGTGGAGACTGACAGTAAGAAACTCCGCGCCTGGGAAAGTGCCCGTCACCAAGAATACTCGGGAAATGGGGGTCTCCAGGGGAAGGGGGGCCGTCTGGATGCGAGTGAGACCTCTGCCTACTGTGGCGTGAAGTTCGCCCCACCCTCCCCATCGCTGCGTCTAACATGCCACCAGTAACAGTCACTTCCCCCAGCTTTCTGTTTCCAAGACGACCGGCTTAACACGGGCCTGCTGGGGCGGTCACCACGTGAAGACGCCGCTGCTGGGTTCGGGGGGAAAGGGCGGGCAGCAAGGAGGACTCCCCTTAGCTGGGCTGCTGGAGTGAGCGGACCGAGCCTCTGACCCTGTGTCCCACCTGGGAACAACCCCCAGCCCAAATCCACAAGAGCACGTGTTTTTCTCTTATTTACATAAATAAGTGTGTGGGGTCAGAAGCTCTGGTTGACATCTGAGGACACTGATGACCAGGCGGATGCCATACTGCCCCGAGGCCTCCCCATCTGGGATATGTGGGACCCACCACCCTGCACGCTATGGAAAGTGCCTGCAGGGGAGGCACCCCCGAAACTGAGCCAGGAAGGGCCAGGGGTGCTGAGTGGGGGGAGGAGGGCACCCAGGCCAATTTCCTAATTTGGCCAACGTGGGAAAGGTGGTCTCCACACCCCCCTCTGGAACGGCCAGGGGTCCCCGCTCTGCCTGCCAGCTAAGAGTGCTCCACCTCCACCCCCCTAGGCCCCCAGGACTGCCTCTCCCTCTCCCAGAAGGAAGTTATCTTGTTGGCTGGATTGCAACAGCCAAGAGTCAAAAGATGTGGAGACAACGGGGCACCCCCCCCCCAGAGAAGTGAAGCAGCGCCCAGACACCTGCACACCCTGTTCCACATTATCCGCAATCACCAAAGGGTGGAAACAAGGCAAGTGGCCATTAACCGATGAACGGAGAAACGCACTGTGATATGTAACCGCACAAACAACAACAACGCTCAGCCATTAAAAGGAATGAAGTGCCGATGCACGCTGCAACATGGGTGAGCCCTGAAATCACGCATGGGAAATGAGCTAGACACAGCAGGCCAAGTTCTGGGATGATTCATTTATATCAAATGTCCAGAACAGGAAAACCCATAGACAGAAAGCAGAGGAGGGGTGGCCAGGGGCTGCAGGGGTGCGGAGGGGGCAGGGTCTCCCTTTTTGTTTGATGAAAACGTTTTGGAACTAGACAGCGGCAGCGGTTGCACAAAACTGTGACTGTTCTAAACGTCACTGATGATACAGTTTATGTGAGGTGTATTTTACCACAATAAACACGATTTTAGGAAGAGGTAGACGAGGCAGGAGTCGGCCTCCCAATCTGCAGGCTCTCGTTTAAGAGGCCAAACCCCCAGCCTTCCCTCCCCCCTCGTGGCGGGGGAGGCCCAGGCTCCTGGGAGGGCGGCCCCAGAGCCACGGAGAGGATACAGCGGAGCAGCTACCCGATAATTAAGGTCTCTGCCAACTTACTCTTCTAATTAGTTTCCTTCCAAGTTAAAGCCTTCCCTTCCCTTCCTTAGTCCTCTGGCTTCTCCCCTTCCATTCTGTCAGCTCTTTCCCATGGGAACAGGCACGGAAAGCAGGGGTAGCTCAGGTCCTACCACAAGGAGCAGGGGCAGAGGGAGTGGAGTGGGCACAGATGAGGATGCTTTGCTCAGCCCGGGGATGCTTAGCCCGAGTCCCAGGACGGCTCTGTGGGAGTCAGAAAATGCCGCCTCTTCCCCTGAATGGGCCGTCCCCAGGGGGCAAGGCGGGTCTCAGCCTCCCTAGGCCCCTCACCTGGGTCCCCTTGTTCAGTGAACAGCCTGCCCAGGTACATATGGAAACCCATCCTCTGAAAGTCTGAATTAAACAGGATCTTCTGCCCCCACAATGGATGCATGTGTACGCACACACGCACCCTATTTTATCAGAAGGTTTCGAGACCACTCCAGAACCCTAGTCCAATAGGTACTCAAGAAATGTCTGGCCCGCCCGGTGTGGCTCAGTTGGTTGGCCTCACCCCATACACCAAGAGGTCGCTGGTTCGATTCCTGGTCGAGCCTGGGTTGTGGGCTCGATCCCCAGTAGAGGGCATGTAGGAGGCAGGCTATTGATGTTTCTATCTCTCTCTCTCTCTCCCTCTCCCTTTCTCGCTCTCCAAAATCAATAAACACACACACACACACACACACACACACGTATATATATTTTAAAGGAAGGCCTTCACTCAGACCCCATTTCTGCCATTGGTAATGGCTTTGATCACTTGCCACATGTCTCTAAGTGAGCCAAGGACTGGGGCACTTAGCGCTAATCTTTACAACAAGCCTGGCACATACATGTCATTTTTTCCATTTTAAAATGAGAAATCTAGGGTTCAGAGAATTTAATAACGTGCCCCATGTTGTGCAGCTAATTAAATGATAAAACCAAACTTTAAAATAGTAGCTTTGTTCTAGATGCTGCCACCCAGCTCCCTAAACCCAGGCTACTCCCAGTCCATCTCCCCAGAATCAACCCCATTTCTTCACCTGGCCACCTGGCACCCAGCTCCCGCCCAAGGAGGATGACAACTCGGCCCTGACGCTCCTGCCGGTCGCACCTCCGAGTGTGCACGTGCCTTCCCAGGAGACGTGCAGAAA